GTAATAAATATCTTAGAACTCCACAAAACAATAAATTTAAATGAAGCTATAGAAAAGATGGATTGAATATGAATTCTTTCTCGTTAGATTACTTCTAGATTAAAAACAATATTCTGATTTAGATTAGAATTGTTAGCCCATCTTTCGAGTTCGTAGATTTTAAAGAATCCTTGTAGTATATACCTCAAAACTTCACTAGGAGTTTGCTCTTGATAAAAGATAAGGATGAGTTAGATGAAACGTAATAGATACTTCGGAACTCCACAAAACAATAAATTTAAAAGAAGTTAAAGAAAAGATAGATTAAATATGAATTCTCTCTCATTAGATTTAAACTACATTAAAATCAAAACTCTCAATTAGATTAAAATTGTTAGCTCATTTTCTGAGTTCTTAGATTAAAAAAATCATTATAGTATATATCTTGGAACTCCGCATGGATTTCACGTGTCGCTTGATAAAAAAAATAAGAACGAGTTAGGTGGAACATAACAGATATCTCAGAACTCAATAAAACAATAAATTAAAAAGAACTTATAGAAAAGATAGAGTAAATATGAATTCTATCTCGTTAAATTAGATTAATACTAGAATAAAATTAGATAAATAGATTAAAATTGTTAGCTTATTTTCCAATTTCCTAGATTAAAAAAATCCTTATGGCATATGTCTCGAACCTGTACAAGGAGTTTACGTGTCCCTTGTAAGAATGAGCTAGGTGGAACGTAATGCATACTTCGAAACTCCACAAAGCAATAAATTTAAAAGAAGTTATATATAGAAAAGATAGAGTAAATATGAATTCTATCTCATTAGATTAAGACTAGATTAAAATCAAAATTCTGATTTAGATTAAAATTGTTAGCTCATTTTCCGAGTCCCTAGATTTAAAAAATTCTTATAGTATATTAGTATATAACTCGGAACTCCACAAGGAGTTTACATGTACGCTTGATAAAAGATAAGGATAAGTTAAGTGAAAAGTAACAAATATATCTCAGAACTCAATAAATTTAAAAGAAGTGATAGAGAAGATAGATTGAATATGAATTCTATCTCATTAGATTAATACTGTATTAGTATTAAAATTGTCATTTAGATTAAAATTGTTAGCGTATTTTCCGAGTTCCTGGATTTAAAAATTCCTTATAGTGGTATGTCTCGAAATTCCACAAGGAGTTTACGTGTATGCTTGATAAAAGATAAAGGATGAGCTGCGCTAGGTGGAACGTAACAGATACTTCAAAACTCCACAAACCAATAAATTGAAAAGAAGTTATAGAAAAGATATATTTCATATGAATTCTATCTCACTAGATTACGACTAGATTAAAATCAAAATTCTCATTTAGATTATAATCGTTACCTTATTTTCTGAGTTTCTAGATTTAAAAAATCCTTATATATGTCTTGGAACTCCACAAAGAGTTTACGTGTATGCTTGAATGTTTGATAAAAGATAAGGATGGGCTATGTGAAACGTAACCGATGTATCTGAACTCCACAAAGTAATAAATTTAAAAGAAGTTATAGAAAAGATAGATTAAATATGAATCTATCTCATTCAGTTAAGACTAAATTAAAATCAAAATTCTTAATTATTTAGATTAAAATCGTTAGTTTATTTTATGAGTTCCTAAATTTAAAAAATCCTTATAGTGTATACCTCGGAACTCCACAATGACTCTACGTGTACGTTTTAAAAACGATAGGGAGGTAGGTGGAACGTAACAAGTATGACTGCAAAACAATAAATTTAATAGTAATAGAAAAGATATACGTAGTATTAAATGTGTTCTCTCTAGGTACATTAAGACTAGATTATAATCAAAATTATCATTTAGAATTTTGTTCTGAAAATTTTCAATCCAAAATCAGAAATATAGATAAAATATAGATCACAAAATGAAAAATAATGAGATGATGTTCGTGTATGCTTGATAAAAGATAAGGATGAGTTAGGTGGAGCGTAACAGAAGTTATAGAAAAGATAGATTAAATATGAATTCTATCTCGTAAGATTAAGATAGGTTAAAACCAAATTTCCCATTTAGATTAAAATCGTTAGCTCATTCCATGAGTTCCTAGATTTAAAAAATTCTTATAGTATATACCTCGGAATTCACAAGGAGTTTACGTGAACGCTTGATAAAAGATAAGGATGAGTTATGTGGAACATATTACGTAATAGAAAAGACAGATTAAATGTGAATTCTATCTTGTTAGATTAAATGAGATTAAAATAAAAAAATTCATTTAGATTAAAATCCTTAGCATATTTTCTAGGTTTCTAGATTTAAAAAATCCTAGGTTATAGCATATACCTCAGAACTTTACAAGGAGTTTAAGTGTACGCTTGATAAAAGATAAAGATAAGTTAGGTGGAGTGTAATAAATTCTTGTATCAAAACAATATTAGTAAATTCTTGTAATAAATATTCTTATTTAGATTAAAATGTTATCTCATTTTTCGAGTTCCTAGATTGTAAAAAATTCTTGTAGTATATACCTCGGGTAGGTGGAACGCAATAGGCTGGTATATTAGTAACAGGTAGGTGGAACGTAACAGGTAGCTAGAACGTAACAGGTATATTAGTAACAGGTAGGTGGAACGTAACAGGTATATTAGTAACAGGTAGGTGGAACGTAACAGGTAGCTAGAACGTAACAGGTATATTAGTAACAGGTAGGTGGAACGTAACAGGTATATTAGTAACAGGGAGGTGGAATGTAACGTAACAGGTACCTTGACACGCTACAAAACAATAAATTTAATAGTAATAGAAAAGATATACGATGTATTAAATATGTTCTCCCAAGGTAGCTTAAGACTAGATTAAAATCAAAATTATCATTTAGTATTCTTTCTGAAAATTTTCAATTCAAAATCTTAAAGATAGATAAAATATACTCTGTAGATCACAATATGAAAGATATTGATATGAGACTCAAATGATTGAAAATTATCAATCTAAAATTGAAAATATCTAGAATTTTAAGTTTTTTTAACCATTTGTTAATTTTATTAAAATAATAAGTTTTTGTGAAGAAAAAAACATTACATATCAGCAAAAAAATCAATTGATTAATTGAAAATTTAAATCTACAATGTTTAGGTCATTCTTGGACAATTTGCAATCACTGTATCTCCAAATCGATAATTTTCACTTTTCAAATTAGTAATTAATAAGTAGCTTATATTTTGTTGTCATGATTTAAAATTAGATTACCGATTAAAATAAAGCTCGATTATAAGAATGTGACCTCAAAGTCTTAAGTGCGAAAATTCATTAAAACTTTTAATCTGCTTTTTAAATATATAAAGTTTTATTTCAATGACTAACTTAGAAGTTGTGAGTGAAGAATTAATTAATCGTATACTTAAAAAAGTATTCACCCTGCTTTCAAAAAAAAGTATTCACCCTCAAAATAATTTTGCAAAACATTTGGGACTTGGGATTAGGGTATTTATTTTTCTCTTATAAGTATCGATATCACATATTCTTAATTCTCTACTTTTTAATGAATACAGAAAGTCAAAAATATTTTAAAATAATTCAAACAACAAATTCAACAATACTAATCGCTTAATTTGGTCTATTCTTTTCAAGCAGTGCTTTATGTGTACGCTTCATAAACGATAAGGAGGTAGGTGGAACGTAACAGGTACCGTGAAACACTACAAAACAATAAATTTAATAGTAACTGAAAAGATATACTTTATACGATAGAATTAAATATGTTCTCTCTAGGGATTAAGACTAGATTAAATTAAAATCAAAATACTTATTTAGATTAAAATCGTTAATTTTTCCTGAGTTCCTAGGTTTAAAAAATCCTTATGGTGTATTCCTCGGAACTCCACAATGACTTTACGTGTATGCTTCTTAAATGATAAGGAGGTAGGTCGAACGTAACAGGTACCGTGAAACACTACAAAACATTAAATTTAATAGTAACAGAAAATATATATTAAATATGTTCTCTCTAGGTAGATTAAGACTAGATTAAAATCAAATTATCATTTACTATTCTATTCTGAAATTTTTCAATCCAAAATCTGAAAAACAGATAAAATATAGATCACAATATGAAAAATATGGATATGATGCCCGAATGATTGAAAATAATCAATCTAAAACTTAAAATATCTAGAATTTTAAATTTTGTTTTAACCATTTGTCTATTTTATAAACATAAAAAAAATTTGTGAAGAAAAAATCATTAGATATTAGCAAAATAAATAAATAAATAAATAAATTAAAATTTTAAATCTACAATGTTTAGGTCATTCTCGGACAATTTGCAATCATTCTATGTCCAAATCGATAATTTTCACCTTTCATATTATTAAGTAGGAGTAGTAATAACGTAACTAATAAGTAGCTTATCTTTTGATTTCATGATTTAAAATTAGATTACATGTTTATGATTAAAATAAAGCTTGATTATAAGAATGTGACCTCTTAAAGTCTGAAGTGCGACAATTTAAATAAACTTTTAATCTACTGTGTAAATGTATTAATTTTTATTTCAATGACTAACTTAGAAGTTGTCAGTGAAGAATTAATTAATCATATACTTCAAAAAAGTATTCACCCTCAAAAATAATTTTATGAAACATTTGGCGACTTAGGATGAGGGTATATATTTTTCTCTTATTACCATCAATATCACATACATTGTCCCGTTCTTTTTTTAGCGGTAACATTCCTTTTGTCAATGCACAAATTTGATCGTCATGATATTTAATTCTCTATTAGTAAAAAAACTTTTAAAAATCAGATTATGAAATTTTGTAATGATACGAATTTAACAATATTTTTTAAAAAAATTAATTCACATGCATTAATAAATAAAATGTAGTCAAAACAGAGTACATGAATAGTGTATAAATTCCAATGTTGCAACTATTATGATAGAGAGGATAGTATTCAATGAATATATAAAGTCAATTTTTGTTAAAATAATTCAAACAACAAATTCAACAAAACCGATCGCTTAATTTGGTCTTTTCTTTTCAAACGTGCTTTATATTGAAAATAAATAATGGCGTAAAGTTTAAACCATATTAGAATATGAACACGCAGAATCTGACGTCCAGGTGCAGGAAACAGGCAAAGTATGTTGGTGGGACAATTAAAACATTGCCAACCCTGCATCTTATACGCAAGAAATTACTGTAATCTGTTTAATGACACCAGTTCCTTGACCCTATATAAACAGGTTTCGGGTTTACTGTGGAAATGTGGAGTCTTGATGAAGAAGACAGGCAGTTAAAGTTTATGAGGTAATAAAAAATGCACAAAAAACAAGCAGAAATTGCCTCTTTTTCTTCTTCTTCTGAGTCTAAGCAGCGATTCCTATGCGAGCGTTTCTAAGTACACATACTCTTTTTCTCGTTTCTCTGCAACAAAAATCCCATCTTTTTCCTTTTATCTTGTTGTTTTTATCCTCATTAAGCTGCCCTCCTCCCTGCCCCACACCCACCCAGACACGAGCAATAACCCCCCACCCCCACCCTCCACCGAACAGAGTTCACATTTAGGGGTGACTATCTCCCTCATTTCAGCCGGATAAACCGGTGTTTTTTTCACAGATCCAAAAGGAGGGTACTCTTTAAGAGACTGGGTATTCCTTCTTTTTCTCTGACTGGCTTCCTATTCCGTAAATTTTTTCAAGACGGAAAAAGCACCTGTGTACTGTTTTTTTTTCTCGGGATGGACTAAAGGCCCTCTGATGGCAAGTTCTTCTTTTTCTAATCATTTTTTAATGAGGAAGTTGGGGCGTGTTCTTCCTGGGAAAGATTTGGATTTCTGGTTGTCAATTGTGTTCTTGTGAACTTTCTTCATTTCTGGAATTCTGGGTCTAGAGGTATATCTCTCTGCTTGTTTATATATAGACCAGCTTTTCCAGTTGTCTAAGCAAACCGCTGAGCTGATGCCGAAAGTTTTTTCTTTTCTTAATTTGAGTGTTCGATTTGGGTTCTTTCATCTGCCCCTTGCTGATCTGCGCGAGTAATCGTAATTCAGCTGTTAGTTTCGACAGATGTTCGTTCTTTGTTTCTGACTCTGTTTGATTCTTTGTTTTCTCTCACTGAATTTTCCTGTAGTGAAAAGACGGAGACTTTGATGTTTTTTTTCTGGAAATTTTATGATATGTTGTCATTTTTATCCAGTTTTTGCCCATGTTTTCTGCGTTGTGTGTTTCTGATTTTTATCTTCTCTCACAGCCGTTCTGCGTTTTGTTCTAGAAATCGTCAAGAGTTGGAAATTTCCTCGTTCATATGCCTGATAGAGTCGAGGGGTTTTCAATTCAAACCAAAACTCTCTTCTTCCTTAAGAATTAACTTTATATGACCATTTTTAAAATTGGGTGTTTTGAAGATGGTATCTTTTTCAATTGAATACATAATAGATTTTGTATGACATATATAAGAGGAAAAAGAATCAATTGTTTCCTCCAACCGCTTGCATGGTCTCTGTATAGTTGGCATGTTCTTGTTTCTTTGGTCTGAATCAAGCACATTTAGTAGGGTTTCTTCGGTAAGGAAGATTTTGCTGAATTGAATATGCTGGATTTCCTGAAAAAGAAAAACATTAGTTAAATCTATTTCAGCCTAATAAGTAGAAAGCAGTTTAGAAAACAATCTACCCAACAGGGCCTTAATGAACCATTTGTTGTTGAACTAAAAGCATCTCTCATTTTATATGTTGAGACAGAAAGCGAGGATTCAAGAATGGAGGATGAGAGCAACTTTAGAAACTGGGCTGAGTTAATACCAGATGCCCTTGGGCTGATTTTCAATAACCTGTCAATTCAGGATGTGCTTACTGTTGTTCCAAGGGTTTGCAAATCATGGGAACGAGCTGTGGTGGGGCCCTACTGTTGGCAGGAAATAGACATCGAGGAATGGAGCAAGAACATGCCGGCCGAGTATGTTGATCGGATGCTTCAACTGCTGATCACAAGGTCCCAGGGCTCACTCCGTAAGCTCAACGTTACTGGTGTATCTAATAAAGATACGTTTTCTCTCATTGCTAACAAGTGAGTTTTCATGTCTTGAGTTCTTTACATTGTTTGCATTAGGTATAAGCATTGGCTTACTTGTGTGAACCCCAAAGTATATAATGTTTCATAGCAAATTAAGCAGAAACTAAAAATCGACCGTATTAAGACTCAAAATACGAACACACAGATTTCAAGACGTTCATGCCCCAAGTATAAAGATACAAACTTGAATGTAAGACAGTGTTCTAAGTTTCTCTTATATTGTAGAACTCTAAGTCTCTAATATTAAGAACCCATTTTTGTGCCATGTTATACTGTCATTGAGGTCATGTTTCATTATGTAAATGTGGTTAACTAGTTTTAGAAAATCCAGGGCACGTTTTGAAAGGATTTTGGTGCTTGGTAAGGCTTTACTTGACTGAATTGGCTGAATTTGCTATGACTAAATCTGTCAAAAAGTCTAACAACTCATTTATATTTAAATATATCAATATCTTAAAGTAAAGCTAAAAATATCAACCTCAGCCATTTCGGTGAAAACCCGAACTCATGCACTACTTAATTTTAGTTTAACCAACATAATGGCAAAAGCTAGTGTTTTGGTTGGAAAAATGGTTGATAAGGTAAAAAACTTGAGCCTAACAAATGGCCACTAAAAAGCTACTTCTGCTAACTCTCACTTACTACCTAACGTGGCCTAATTTGGGGGGGGGGGGGGGGAGGGGGGCTATAAATGTCATGCAACCAACCTGAACTGACGAACTTGGTCCGGTCTGCAGTGCCAAATCTTTGCAGAGTTTGGGCTTGCCAAGAAGTGATATGGATGATGTTGCAGTGGAAGAGCTCGCTGAAATGTTCAGTAACATAACTGTCTTAGACATCAGCTACTGCAACAACATGGGGGACATAGCTCTTGACGCGTTTGGAAGGCATTGCAAGAACCTCACCACTTTTCGCAGAGCAATGCACCCTCTGGAGGTCATTGACAAGGTCTGCCAAGATGATGAAGCCTTAACGATTGCTGCCTCCATGCCAAACCTCAAACAGCTTGAGATCCCTTACATGCTGGTAAGCACAGAGACAATAGTTGAGATCATCGAGAGTTGCAGCCAGCTTGAGCTGTTGGATATTAGGGGCTGCTGGGATGTTTGCCTTGATGAAGATTTCTTGAAGAAGTTTCCGGGGCTTAAGGTGGTGGGACCCGCTATCGTGGATTGCTATAACATGAACGGATGGGACAGCTGCTCTGATAATTCGGGGTCTACTGGTTACTTGCCCTGGGACTTTGTTGGTGGTGATATAGATGATGATGATCTATCTGATGGTCTGTGGGAAGATGAACCTGAAGTTGATGTTGAGATGTGGTTTTATGATGGGCTCAATTCCATCAATGCCGGTTATGAATGGCCTCAATCTCCTTGACTGGGACTTTGCTTGCTTGTCTGCCTGCTGGATAAACATGGAATCTTTCATATAAATATAGTATAATAATATCCATATAAATTTGTTCTGTCTTTGTTGTATGTAATATGAGTTTTCATATTATATATTATAGATCAGTGTCTTTTTATCAACTCTCTTATTATCTTCTTCAACTTCTTCCTTCTAGAAAACCCAATGAGAAAAGAAAAAGGCAAATACCTTGTGTCTGTAATGTTTATACTTTGCAAATTATGTAATGAATAAACATTATGTTGTTTCTTCAGTAATATTACTGCATGTTTTATATAGATTTTTTGGGTTAGAGTTGGAAAGTTAATCTGGAATAGAGGAAAATAATAAAGAATGAATCTTTCATGTGTGTAGTGTGATGATAATAAGGTGATAACCTATGAATTTGTTATATTTTTGTTGAATATGATAAATGTTATTATTGTTATTAGTAGTGTCTTATGATCAAGTACCCTAGTTTTTCCTTCACCTCTATTTATCAAGACCTAATGAGAAAAGGTAAAGGTAAAACCCATTGTGTTGAAAAATGTAATGAATAAGTAGTACAACTTGGCTAATATTTTAATACGGTTTACTTATATTTTGGGTTGAAAATGGAAAGTCAATCCCATATAAATCTTCAGGTGCATTAGAAAAAAAAGGAAAATAATAATTGCAAAATCAGGAAGGTCCACTCTCCTCCTATTCCAACACAAAAGTTAAAGGGAGAAAACTTTTTAATGTTTGGGTTAATGTAGCAGTGAGATCTGAAGACAGCATTGCTTTCTTCCTAAGAGCACAATAATGAGAGAAGGTGGAGGGGAGACAAAGTGGGAGAATGAACTGAAAGCTGGGATCCGCAAAAGGTCCCATATCTCATGATTCATCTATTCATAGTGCATTGACTTCCTAAGACCACACCAAGTCCCAAAATTTCCAAGATTTTCATGTGCCACTTATTCAAGCAACTAAGGCTATCATTAACCCTTTGGCAGCCTTATTTTTCCCATCAGTATCATAAGTAATAAGGAGAGTGGACAATAGGGACTTATTTGACCTTTTTTATGCAATTTCGAGTACCAATATGACCCTTTACTCAAATGAATTTTATCAAACATTTACCCTTCACAAAATTCAATGTATTAGCAAGCAGACCCTAAGTTCAGAAAGTTAAGGAAAACTTCCTGCCTATGTTGCATGGGAACGCAAAAATCGTGAGAAAACAGGAATCGGGGAAAGGGAAAACATCAACTTTTGATCAAAAAAAGCTTGTTTGGAGAGTTTTCAAAGAGTTTCCGTAGAATTTGCGGAACAGAAACGTACTCTTTTTAAGAGTTTCCGTGCTACATAGCTTTCTGTTGTTGGACCGGAAAATTTATGTTATGGGCAGCTGAGTTAGTGGAAACCACACAGTGTTAGGGGAGACAAGTTCTTGATGAGAAGTCAAGATAGGGTTTGGTTGCCATATCAAAAAAGGGTAGAGAAAGATTCCATCTTATTGACTCTAATATGGAAGAAGACACCATTGTGATTTGTGATTTGTGATTTGTGAGTGAGGGAAGCACTAGTGAGTGGGTTCTTGCACAGGTAAGATGCGTTTTGGGTAAAAATTCCAGGGACATGAATATATTGAAGGGAATATTTGGTGAGGATTGGTGAAAGTGAAACCTGTCTTTCATCACGTGTGTTAGTGCCTATTTGTGTGTACCCCAAACAGTGTGGATTCTGCAACTCATTTGGGCTCAATTTTCAGCCTTTTCTGCCACTCGCCTCAATCCAACGTGGGAGTTTAAACTCCATTCGCATGTACTGAGCTCCCCAAATTTAAGGATATTAACTACGGAAAAAAAATACCTTCACTCGGTCATTCTTCAGACTAAAATTTATTTTTAATTTGGAATTTTAAACTTGACAAACGATAATCTAGACAAATTATGTATGAAATGGTAATAGAGAGTAATGTGACAATATTTACTACCACGTTATAGACAAAAATCTAAGTGAAAGTTTCTGAAATAAGCCAAGAGTAAACATGATGGTATTTACTACCACGTCTAGGGGTGGGCATGGGTCGGGACGGTTCGGGATTAGGGTTATCCCGGTCCCGTCCCAATTAATAATAATGGGACGGTACGGTACGGGATAAGCCTTTGTCCCAGTCTTGTCCCATTTAAATCGGGACCGGGATGATTCGGAACGGTTCGGGACGATTCGAGACGTCCCAAACTAACAAAAAATAATCATTTGTAATTAATATATATTAGCATTCCTAAAGTATCATGCACTAAAATATTAACATTTTAAAAGTTAATTAATGTTCATCACAAGCTAAAAGCTACTATGTATTAGATTTTAGTTAGGTTTAGCAAAATTTGAAATTTAAATTTAAAACAAAGCAAAAATGAATTATTTTATTCAAAATCATTTGTTATAGTTGTGAGATACTCATATATAGATATATAAAGTGAGATAAAAACCTATGTTAGTAAATATTTATTTTAGGTATTATTTTTAATTTAAAAATCGGGCATGAAAACTAAAAACATGTTATCATTTATTTTTTGAGTTGACAGTACAAACTAGTTACATGCTACAAAATCTATATAGTTATTACAAACGGGACAACGGGACGGTTCGGGATAACCTTCCAATGTCCCGGTCCCGTCCCGTTTGAAACCGGTACGGGACCGGTGCGGGACAAATTCAACGAGACCCAAACGGAACGGGACAACACCGGTACGGTTTCGGGATATACCGGAATGGGACAACGGGACCGGGATTCTTGCCCGCCCCTAACCACGTCATTGTCATGTTACTCCTAAGGGGTCGTTTGAATCACGGGTAGTGGAGGGTTGCCGGTGGTGGATTATTGGGGTTGTGCATTACCCAAAAAAATATGTCACTATTGGAGAGGATGACAGTGTAACTGTCACTAAGCGTGACAACTTATCAGTGGGGCGCTAGGGTGGCACAAGTAACTGATGGAGTATATTGTCATATACACTAGGGGTATAAACATTTATGCTAAGGAATCTACGAATTCACCATGGCAACTCCGGTCGAGGCCGAACTCAAGATTGGTTCTTAGATCATCAAGATAAATCCAAAACTGCAGCCAAGGTCGAGGTTGACCCCGTATGAAGAGGATAACTCTTTCGGCACTATAGTCTAGCTACGTGCCAAATCCGACGTCCCATACTCGAGATCAGCAAAGACAACCTCAGTTATCATTTTGAGCCGAGGTTCCTCACCTCCAAGCACTAACATCGCACAACATTCATGATTACGTCATATCATGATAGTTGTCCCAGGGCTAACGCAATTCGGTTACAATAACCAGCTACCAGGTTTACACGCATGGCTTATCCAGCCATTCTGGTATGTAAAGGACAATAAGTCTGTATAACAGTACCAACCATCCAAATCAATCAGATATTCTCTCCCCAATTAAGCCTTACACGTGGCGTTAGAATAATGGATCAATTACTTTTACTTGTTCACCAAGTATTTCCTTGTATATTATACTGCCTCCGTTCTTTTTTATTAGTCCTTCTTCCTTTTTGGGACGTTTTTTTATCTGTCCTCATTTCCATTCAAGGAAAGTTTTTACTCTAAATATACTTGTATACCCCAACTTTTATTATCATTACCCCTTTCTCTTTCCTACATTTTCATTTACTCACTACTCATTACACCTTTTACTCTACCCCTACTATTTTCCTCTTAAAACTCGTGCCAAAGCTTAGGAGGACTAATATTAAAGAACGGAGGGAGTATATATCACCTTCCAACTTGTGGATAGATATCCCAATTCTGATTTTCGGACATACTTTTACTCTGCCAAATTTATTACTCAGTTCGTACTTTGCTTGATCTCCGACTCTCCCTCGGTTTTACTACTCCTAAGTCGGTAAAGCCATGGGTAACATTAGTAAAGGGTATAAAAGTCAACTTGGTCTTTGTTTTTGATATTTTTAAAAGTAATCGTATTTTTGTCCTGGACTTCTACTTTAGTACGTAGTATTGTTTATGTCAAAACTCTCATTTTTAAAATTTATACTAAAAGTTTCTACCTCATAAAAATAGTGTGCACTCTTATTATTAGGAGAAAAGCTTGGGAGGACATTATTATGTGAAAAGTGAAAACAACAATTTCTTTATATTGCATAGAATTAGATGGGTCGTCTTTATAACATCTTAGATTCTATAACGACTTATGTGATTTGAGCGTTGTGCATTAAGTCTAAATGTTATACTCCCTCCGTAACATTTATATCTTCCCACTTTCCTTTTTTGGACGTAACATTTATATCTTCCCATTTCTAAATCTTCCCATCATACCCTCAATAATTTAAAAAATAATACACTATTACACCTACTTTTTTTGGATTTATCCTTCATTCCATCACATTATTTCACCATCTTCCCATCATACCCTCAATAATTTATATCTCCTTTCACTATTCTTAATCTCACCCACTTTAGAAGTGGGAAGATATATATGATACGGAGGGAGTATATACCATGGTTCAAATTGGTAATGTCTTCAAACTTTGGGACTTCGGAAGTTTCTTTGTATATTATACCAGAAATGAATTTATTCTGAAGCACAACTGCTACAAGTTGTACCGTCCTTTCTACTTGCTAGCTGTCAAATATCTATTCCTGATCGAGAGGAAAAAATTACCCTTTAGAGACTACAGTATATTTTATTCAACAACATGCAAGCTGGAACTTCCTCAATTTGCAACCTTGCAGGCCCGGCCCTAAGGGAGTGCAAGTGGTGCAGTGGAACAGGGCCTCCACTAATGGAGGGCCCCCAAATTTTCCCAATTTTAATTCAGAGTACTGCGTTTGTTAGTAGTTAATGCTAATAGTTGGAGCAAAAAACGACTGAAATAGGAGTATTTAATCTTTGAGCTTGGCGACAATGCCTCTTACAATGCGGAAGAATGAACGATGCGGCTCATCTTTCAATCGTGACTCCTCGTGAAACATACAATTTACAAAATTACAAAATTTTTATTGGCAACCAAGTGACTCGACCAATTTATGCTATATTAATTTCTTTATCAAATCCGTTCTACTAGATCTGTTTCTCCAAACAGTTTTTATCAAATAATTTCCTAAGAATTCTGCTGAAATCTGAATCTGAAGTGGAGCAGAAGGATAAGTTCGCCCTTTCAAAGTTTAGCTTTTCACAACTTCAAACCTCAATATTTTTTCCATCTATGTATGAAAGGTACTATCATGTTCTTCACTTCTTCATGGGCATATGTGTAACACTTGAGATTTAATATAAATGGA